AAATAGGAGAATGATCTAGAAGAAGAATCTAATATTGGAATATTCCAACACTCCCCCTTAAGATGGAATATCTTGAATTGTAGAGAGAAGAGTAGAGATGCAAGAGAAGTCGTGGTCGACAATAACATCCAGCGGAGAAGCAATCCAAAGAAACACAGCAACATAATTCAACCGGAATAAGTGAGCATCCATGGCTCTAAAATCGGGCATTCGCTGAAGACAAACACCATCAATATTGATGAGTAAAAGGAAAACTGAAAATGCCAAACAAACTCCAACATGGAAATGTATCCCTCTACGATTTCTGATTTTTTTTTCATCTTCAGCATTTTCTTCTGCAACTCATTTAAACCGAAAAAACATAGACAAACCGATTAATCATAATAAACACAAAATAATTCCTCCAAATGAGAGAGAGAGAGAGAGAAAGAGAGCTAAACTATTTTTTTAAACGATTTTAAAGCTGATCTGATTATCATCTTAACACAGGTGCCAAATCATTGCAAAGAGTCCTCAAAAGAGAGTTCCTCTCTGAACGTTTTCTACTTGGAATCTAGTGATTCGTGAAAGATCTGGACATATCATGATGCCAGTAAACATTAGGAGATACACCACAATCGAGCAGTTTGCCAATATGCCACACAGGAAGAAATAGGCAGTCACATTATCAATAAAAATACTTTGGATCCACGAAGCATATATAGTAAACCCCTAAGCATCTGGTACTTGAGGAGCCGATGTGTTCAACAATTCGATCAATAGTGTTGTACCCTAAATCCACTCAAATGGATTCATCAGAAATCGAAATTGTATCAGAATCACCTGACCAGGAACCCTCCAATCAGAACCCTGATGAACTCCAGATTAGAGACATATATTCCGCCTCTGCGTACGGGGACTTCGAGAAGCTCCGACACTTTGTCGAAAATAATGGCATTTCTGTTTCCCAGCCTAACGGAAATGGCTATTATCCACTACAGTGAGCTGCCCTTGATGAAGAAGATATGAAGTACACTTATTATTTATCAAGCTCAAGTGATAAGGGAAATATATTACTCTATTTATAGAGTAAAATTAACAAACTAACTACATAACAAATAGAAGAAGGATATAGAACAAGCATCTAATAACAAATAGGAGAA